GCCCCCCCCCCCCCCCCCCCCCCCCCCCCCCCGCGCCCCCCCCCCCCCCCCCCCCCCCCCCCCCCCCCCCCCCCCCCCCGCAATGCCAAGGCGGACGAGGCTGAAACAGAGATCAACTACGACGACAACGAAATCATTTTTTTAAGAAAAAATGAAATGATAAAGGCTGATGAATGATGAACCCCTACAGTTTCAACACCGAGCGCGTATCCGTCGGCGAGACGAAGGAGGCCAACAAGTGGATAGAAAAGTACCTGGGCGTCGGCGAATGGGTCATGGACCAGTCCGTCGCGATAGCCGGGTCCAGCGGCTGGTTCCGTCGGACCCGATGAGCGGGCAGACAATAATAACAAGAAAAATTCGAACGAAGAAAAAAAAAAGCGACAACGAGAAAGACAGAGGGCGCTTGTTGATTGGGACCGGGACTGGGACGTGCTACTTGCGATACCCATGTATTCATGTTAATGAATATCATCATGGAGGAGCTTTCGCTTGGCCCCTCGTCCTTCCGCTTTCGCCTTCGCAAATACTCGATTGGATTTTTCTGCCCTCTCTCTCTCTCTCTTACACCCCCCCTCCCCTTTCACGAACAGGCGTTGTTATTGTTGTTGGGTCATATATCCACTTGATCAAAGCTTCCTGCTACACGACGATAGAAATGAAGAGGGAATGAATTGCTCGCCTCTGCTTGCTTGTTTGGTTGCTTGCTTCACTTGGTCACGCCTTTTATACTACTCCATCTCCATGCCGTAGGGGCGACAGTTATCGCCACCCGCGTTACGTTATATATGAAATAAATAAATGAATAAATAAAAAAGATACAACGCAAACGGCTTCTCATTTACGAAGAATATTTGTTTCCTTTGTATACAGCCGTGATTTTCCTCGTATGCTATGTTATCGTCGTTACCTGGGAGGTAGGTAACCCAGGCGCATTTGACCTGGCATGTACATATACATACTACAGCAACCTCCGTTCCATGTAGCTCGTGTTATCCCAAGTAGAGCGAAAGTACTAATTGATACTCGTGATATAAACCCGATATTCATAAATAATGGTGCCTACCCCTAAAAGCTGCTATGCCAATGTACTAGACAAACCACCGCCCGTGGTATCCGCATTGAATCCCTGAACTCCATGGAATCCTATCATGACTCGTCTATAATAATGCCTACCTAAGGTATGATCCCGCATAGTTATCGAATAACGCGAATAAAAAAAAAAAAAAAAAAAAAAAACCTTTACGCCTAACACCCAAGCAGGCCACGCACCATGCTATACCCGTAAATACATACTTATCACATAATACTCGTGACCGCAACACACCCGCACGCCAACCGCGAAACCCGAAACTCGTATAAACTAATCCACCCCGTCGTCTTCTCTGCGGGTTTCGGAGAGCAGATCCGGCGGGATCCGATTGTCGTCCTCGTCTTCGACTTCGCTGCTCTCCCTCCTCAGGCGGCTGCGATTCGGCGGCGCGTCCTTCGTAACCCGCGTCTGCGGGGGGCTGTGCATGGACAGGAATTCGGCGGGGACGTCGTTGTGGCTCTCGTCCTCGCTCAGCAGCCCGGGCGGGACCTCGTTATCGCTCTCGTCGCGGTGCGAAGCGCCGGGCAGCAGGTACGGCGGAGGGCCCAATTGCTGCGCGTGCTGCGCGTCGGAATTGTCCCAGCGACGGACCACGCTATGCGTTAGTTCCTCCTGCTCGTCGTCATCCTCGACCTCGACCGGCTTCATCGAGGAGCGCGGTTGCAAGCCCGAGGTGCCGTTCTCGCGCATGCCGATCAAGTCGTCGTCGTCGTCCCGGCGGCGGCCGCCGCCGCCGCTCACGGACGTGGTAGGTGTGATGACGCCGTTGTCGTATCCGGAACTACGGATTATCTCGGCGAGGAAGTCCTTCAGCCCCTCGAAGTGCGCTAGCTCGGCGCCGATGGCCGCGATTAGGAGGTTCCAGCCGCGGGACTCGACGTAATCGTACAGCCTCTGGACCTCGCGCAAGGTCCCGTTGAGAGCCCTGTACTGGTCTCGTAGAATAGAAGCCGGGTCGCCGGATTCCATGTTATCCTGCTGCTTTGTGGCGTCTTGCAGCGACTGGTTTAGGCGGGTCTCGAAGTCGATGAGCATGGTCAACACTTGCTGCCATATCTCGCTGCCTTCCTCCAACGCGACGCGTTCCTTGTCGACAGTGGCTTTGCGCCGCTCGAGCACGGCGACTTCTCCCTCCCACCAATCCTTGGCCATTTCGATTGTTCGTCTCTCTGGTCGTAGCGAGAGAAACTCGACGCCGGACATGTGTTTAGACGTGAGAGCAGTGAGGTCCTCACCGCCCTGCTCCCTTAGGTCTTCAACTTCTAGGACCTGTACGCCGGGATATTTCATCAGCTTGGAAATGCTCTGGTCACACTGCTTCAGCGCGCCTTTGTACCCGCTCAGGCTCGCCTCTCTGGTACTCCGAGCCTCTTCTAATTTTCGTTCCAGCTCAGCTTTTGTCCTTCTTAGTATTCTGAGTTTCTCTTCTAGTTTCTCGATGCTGGCGCACACTGTGCGGTGTTGACTCTCTATAGTTGCTATTTCAGTCTCAATCGACGTCTCGCTGTCCTCTTCTAGAGCCTTCATCTCGGCCGTGATAGATTTACGTTGGGATGACAAATTCCGTAACTTTGATAATGCGGCCTTACGTTCCGCTAGCGCGCTAGCTATATATGCATCTTCCTCATTCTTCAAGTCCGCCAACATAGTGACAGAACGGGCGATACCAATGCGAGCTTGCCGCTTTGACATAGGTTTATTTTTGGGCTGGCGAACTGGTACCACGGAGCCTTCGGAAAGCGTCCTCTGGATAGAAGATGCCGTCAAATCCGGAGATAATCCTTGCTTGGTATCTTCGGGAGAAGTGTTTCCTATCTCGTTCCCTTGAAGATCTCGCTCTAACGCGGTACCTTGCGCGTCTAACAACTTCTGAAGCTCCTTTTGCAGTTGACGTTCTCGTCTTTGCAGCATTTTGAAAGTGTTATCGACGTCGGACTGTACCGTACGGTCTGACGAACGGTCAGGCCGCCCCTTGAAAATGCTCTCCACGAAAGACGTATGAGTATTGGTAATAGTATGTCTATTATCGCGCGGTTCGGTGCGAATATTTGGTCGCCAAATACCGGGTGGTACTTTAAGGTCATGGCCCATAGGCTCGCTAAGGCCATCTGTAAAAGTCGGGGTTCGAGATCGCGCATATTGCGAGTGACCTTGGTAGGCAAAGGCAATAGCCTTGCCTTTACCTTTCGATCGAGTAGGAGGAGAGTTCATATTGGTCGCATCAGCTCTGGACCCGTTAGGTATATCGGAAATACTATCTCTATAGGCGAATTCGCGGGTGAAGTCTGGGGAGAGAAGCGCACCGTCAGGTCGGGGAGAGAGTTGGTGGAGGTCATGTTCTTCTACCCGGCGCGGCGGTGGTGAGGTATGTAGAGGTAAGAGAGGTGACATTCCGCTTTCGCTAAGTCCTAGCTTCGATAGTAAAGTAGTGCCAAAGCTCATATCGATCTCATACAGCACAAAAATAAGCTCGGGTATTCGTTCCAATAGGTAGGTAGAATTCAATTTTGACAGATGTTTCTCGGTTGCATCTTTTTCCTTGCTAAAGAACAATAAACTGTAAATTCGGAGCTAACTACAATATACCCAAGAATGCTATTTAACGAAAAAAAAAAAAAAAAAAAAAACTAAAACTAAAACAAAACCATAAAGTGTTAAGGGAAAGAAAACCAAACTTTAATACAGGTATTGGGTGTTCGTTAGGAATGCGGTGGAAGATGATAGGTATAATATCTTAGCAGGTGGTTTATTAGTCAGGGCTGTATCGATAAATGCTCCTTGAATAACTGACTGTCAGGAAGGTGACAGGATCATAAGAGCTTAGCAGGTGCCCATGCGAGAGACATGCATATCCAAAGAGACTTCTTATTGGTCCACCGATGATATCCGAACTATCCAATGACATAAGGCATCTTTATAATGTATATAATGTATTACCTGTTATTCATATGCATGCACATAACACCTATTCCAATATTCCAATATTCCAACTCTGCTTGAATATTTCATCTTTTTATATCTTACCAAGACTTTGGTTCCCTTCAAACATTCTTTATTGAGTGACGTCGAAGATGTAACCAGGAAATAAATCCACTGTGACCTTGTCGGAACATCCTCCGCATCATTTATCCTCCCCCCTGTTCCGCCTCTCATCCCTTGCCCTTGTCCCTTTTTTTCTTGTCATGCATCTAGGTTCTGAAACGATCTGTTCGAGATATCTACCCAGTCACGGACTCGGCTTGAATATCTAAATATGACGATCTTCACCAGCTCGCACAAACAACCTTACAAAATGAATAAGTAGACCTTCCTACATGGTTGTCTCGGTGTAAGGCCGTATCATAATATCGAGGTATCTATCCAATTGCAAACGGAACGTGTCCCCTTGACCATCCTCGCTACTTTTAACATACGTTACTACAACTTCTACCATGGGTAGTGTAGTATACCTTGGATAAGTAGTATATGGATACTAGGTATAAATGTTATGGATACCATGTGGTGGTATACGCATGGGGATCTCGAACCCAGTCGACCTATCCCCTAATATAATTGATGTACCGTCACCGGCGCATCACTGGCGGGCCACTGATCTACGTATCCAATTCCCTAAGTAGATAATGCTGGGGAGTCGTTCGTTGCGGGGAGGAATTATAATCGATTGACTCCTTTTGGATTGTCGGAAACGATTTATCTAATTCGTGATCGCCAGACCAACGTCACGCTTCATTCACTCATTCAAACTTGTTGCCTACCTCTAGGTACCGGCTTTCCTTTCGCTGCCCCTCCCAAGTTGAGTTGAACAGTTGTTGAACAGTTGGGTAAAAGAGAATCAATTCAATTTACTTGATACCTTTTACCAACTGGTACCTTCCTTGTAGGACCGCTTCCATTCAATTTCCTTCTTCCCTGCGGTTTGGTGAATAATTTTACTGTTTGCCTTCCTCAATTCCTACAAACGCGCAACTCAAGTACAAGCACAACAACCTTACGAATAATTGGAAAACTACAAAACTTAGGATTCAGCCATCCTTCCCGTTGGATATCGAATCGGTTCTGATATCCGTTCAATCAACATGATGGCGCCTCTTCTTTCGAATAAGGCGGGCGTCTTGCTCACCGCATTGTCCAGTGTCGGTGTAATTCTCGCCGGACCCGTGGACATTCGTCAGGTAAATAAATAACTGAAAAACTTTTATCCTACTATCTAAAATGTGTTTTATTTTGATGAATTTACTAATGCTTCATACAGGATGTCGCAGCACGTGCAGCCGACGTCTCAACCATCACAGGCTATGCTCATCCGTTGACTCTCACTGCTCTACACACACTTCTCCCTGATCAGTCACCCCTGTCTTACGCCTCACCTCCTACGGCTATCCCGGTTCCGACTAGACTTCTGCCAGCCCCGGGAGACAAGGCCGCCGAAGCAACCGGCGTTCAGGTCCAGGCAGCAGGAGCCTCCGAGTCTGAGCCCGCGGCCTCGCAGACCAACGCGCCCAGCGCAACTTCCGTCTGCACCTCCATCCGAGGCTCCTACCCGACGGCCACTATTCCTAACTTCTGCAATCCGTCGGCTCAGGTTAACGCGGCCAGCTTCGTCCCGGGCCGCACCGACATCCCCACCGCCACCGTGACCATAGGCGCCGTGTCTAACAAGCTCGACTGCTGTGTTCAGTGCGCGGGCATCTTCAACTGCGTCGCCTGGCGCTTCGTCCCCGTGTACACGCAAGCGCCCAACGCGCACCTGCCCGGCGGCTTCGACCCCTGGGGCCGCGGCGACTGCGAGGCCGTCTACCACACCGGCAACCCGGACGACGAGCCCAGCACCACCCACGACGAGACCGCGGCCAACCTGTGCCCCAACGGAAAGGTCGGCGAGCTCCTGGCCAGCAATGACGCCGCAAACGGCATCTCTTCGACAACCAATGCTACCACTCCTACTGGCAGCTGGACGAACTTGTACTTCAACGGCTGGAACGAGGGTCCCTGCGCCGAGCCCGTGGCTCCGTTCGAGAGCGGTAAGGACGCTGGACGAGGAGACGCGGCGAATCTGTGCGCGTAGGTTAGGACTGGTTATTTCAAAATGGGCTCCGTACGCTTGATGAATAGGCCGCGATTTCTTGTTTTACGGCGAAGGACTTTTAATGTGCGATGATAGATACACCGCTTCTATTATATCTAGATACCCTAGGTAGTTACTACGGTCCCTTGATTTACCTAGGGTCCATAGGCCGAAGTTTAGGTATTTCTCTACCCTGGGTTAGGTTAGGTTACGTACCTAGGTAATTACTCGAAATGAATACCGCCATGAATCAGTCTGGTAAGAGGATATCTGCTCTTTCGCATCTATACTTTTAGTGCATAGCTCGCCTATCTGCGCTGTGATGGAAGATCCAGATGTTGTTGTCTGTCAAGATAGGTAGGACTCTCTGATCAATTAACATTGTACCGACCAGTACGACTACGATAACTTACCCCCCATGATCCGTAACCACCCAGGCATGCACTGTAACCGTATTAACGGCCTATATTTGATATAAATAGCACACAGGGTATCTACCGAGTACCTAGCCTTGTCACGTTTAAAAAAAGAAAAAAAGACTTTTGATGCTGGTTCTCAATTCCTTTTTCACTTTGCGCGATTGTTTAGGCTAGAAACCACATGGTCTAGAACGCGCGTTCTTCTAATAAATACGTTCCTACCTGCAAGATTGAACATGTCCTATTAAAAATATTACCTTATTTTAGATGGCTTAGATAAGGCAGTAGTGATGTGGAAAGGATAGCCTGGCAATGAGACGTTCGCGACTGTAGAGAAATTGGTCGTGGGAAATTGGCGGCTATTTTCAGGTGTAGATATTGGGGCACGATGTGGCAGTTCATATTATACTCGGCGAACCATACATAGGACATGTTTTCAGGAAACGTTTATATTATGCCACGTCTTAGGGCTGATACTGCTGAGGCTAGTTGAAGTTATTATCCTTGAAGCCGCATCGATATGTTGTCTTGTCACGAAAAGAGAAAGCTGATGGGCATAAACAACCAAGTGGGCTTTGGGAAAAAAAAAATACTGTCCTCAACTCGTCTTATGCATATCTAGGCGACAATGGCATGTTCTATAGGCATACGATGCTTCCATACAACCAGAAAATAAGGAGTAAAAGGTTCTTATAGGTCTGCGAGCTAGCAAGCCGGGCTGCAGGTATGCATACCCGCCCCCGCAATCTCTGACGTAAGTGGACTGGAAAGGACTGCAATACATAAAAGTCTCCTGTTCAAATATACTTATAAACCCACCGTGGTTTATATTACTACCATTACATCTATGTGCTAAGATGACAACCGAGAGATCCAACTTGACAACGAGGATCCTGCCCCAGATAACTTTGGGGGACGGATCCCCGGGCTCGCTAACAGCCCCGCCGCCACCTCTATCCCAAATCCCGGCGACATCTCGGGCTGAGGAGCGGTTCCGTGTAACCGGAAACGCCGTCGTGACGGGCGGGGCCGGCGATCTCGGCTTCGCGACGAGTCGAGCTCTTCTCGAGCATGGCGTGGAAGGGCTCATGATATTCGACATGAACCCGACGGAAGCGCAAGCCAAGATTGACCTGCTGAGCTCTGAATTTCCCGATGCCAAAGTTCGGTTCTTAAAAGTTGACATCACGGACGAGGTTGGTGTAGATGCAGCCGTTAGTGAAACTATCAAGCAATTCGGAAGCATCGGTGCCCTGGTGAATTTGGCTGGGATGGTAGCCTGTGGGCATGCTCTGGATTGGTCGGCAGAGGACTGGAATAGAGTAGTAAACGTTAATACAATTGGTGGATTCCTTGTTGCTCGCGCAGTTGCTCGGAGCATGATAGAACGCGGAATTGGTGGAAATATGACATTTATAGCGAGTGTATCAGCACATAGTGTCAATTTTCCTCAGCCGGTACGTATCATCATACTCCATTCCCATTCCAAGCCGATCGCTGAAATTCTAGATCATTATGTGAACTGACTCTTATTGTTGTAGCAAGTGTCTTATAACGTCTCAAAAGCTGGAGTGGTGGCTATGGTAAAGTCTTTGGCTGGGGAATGGGCAAGATATGGTATCCGAGTAAACAGTATTTCTCCAGGATATATGGATACCATCTTGAATGAAGGGGAAGGCCTAGACGAGGCAAGAAAGCTGTGGCTTAGTCGGAATCCATTGGGAAGGATGGGCCAACCCGATGAACTGACCGGGGCTGTTGTGATGCTCGCAAGCCGCGCGGGAACCTACTTCAACGGCTCAGATCTGCTGATGGACGGGGGCCAGACGCTCTTCATGTAATGACTGTTGCCGGTCATCCGTTCAAGTGTGAGAACTCTAGGTGGGAATCATAACTTTACATTATGGGTGAGACTCTGCCTTCAGCTTTCGTATAGCTGTGCTGCTTATTTTCGTGGCAAAGTTTTGCGTGTCCGCCGACTTGTGCACTATGCCTTCGGCATCGAGGACATCGACTTCGAATGTCTCCAGCTGTCGCCAGCCAAGGTCTTTTCGTTTTTCATTCACAGCATTCCCCCCACTTCTCGTCTCGCCAGAAACCACAAGGGCATCCATATTTTCTGTCGTGATGGTAGGACCATAAGCATCTTGGATAACCACACAGCGAACCTCGATAGTACCGTTTCGGAATAAAGCCACGAATTCATCATTTCTCCTAAAAATTTTTAAAGATCGTCCTCCTTTCCAACCGTCCTTGGACAGCTCGAGTATAGAAGACAAAAATTCGATTGTATTCGTGGCCCGCTCATTCCAAGGTTGCACGTATTCGGCATACTTTTTCCTCTTCAGTAATTCATCACCTGTAATGCCGACGACAAATTTGCACGGGCTTGACGTGTTATTATCGGGCACCTTGAGCAGCAACACAGCGGCAGTCAGGAGTAATTTGTGTCCAGGATGTAAGTGATCAAACGTGCCTCCCAAGCATACGACAGAATGCAGACTAGTCTGAGGAGATAACTCCGAAGGAGACTGCGGTCCGAGTGATACAGCAAGCCCGCCATCTACAACGACTAGCTGGGACTGCCTCAGAGTTTGAACACCCTCGAGAAGTTTGAGGTATGTAGAGAGCAACTGATATCCTGGTTCATTGTTTGTATGGAATATGTAATTCCAGGGGTGATAGGCCGCAGTAAAAGTTGCGAGATCGACTATTACAGTATTGTTCGGCTTTATGGCTGGTTTTAAATCAACCGGAACAGGTTTAGACACATCGTGATCGACAAGAACAACCCGTGCATCTACGGATCCAGGACCGGCATGGATATCGGTCGGAATAGAAAGTTCAGCACATATAGCGGATATGATGCTGTATAGATCAGCCAAAATAGACTGAGCGTAAGGCCAAGAAAGAGACTTTTGTCGTAGAAATTTGCCTGTGAGGATTGGTGACACCAGAGCTACAATCAATACCGTTCCATCTTTTCCGCCTTTCTCAGATTTCAACCTTAAGAGAGAGGCCTTAAGCGGGGGTTCATATGTGGCGTTGAGAGCGAGCCGGGAAGGAGGATGTGGAGGTGGGGGTAGCAATAAGAGCGACGGGAGATCTGCCATGGTGCCAATTTTTTTTTCTCTTTTTTTTTCTGGCTTCTTAGATACCGAAGGTAGCTACCGTACCTAAGGTAGCTTGAACAACTCGCAAATTTAGATGGGTACCTCTAGCTTTGGTGTAAATAAATTTGTCAATTGAAATAAGTTCCCCGGATGTCAATAACGGGTTGCTCAGGTGGCGTGACGGTAAGTAAGGGACCTTGAGCTATATCCTTACGGGTAAGATGGGAATTGGTAGATGAGAAATAAAGTTGAAAATGTAAGACAATTTTTGAAGGCAAAAGCAATAGCATACCTAGAATAGGTAAACCATTGTATAAAAAAGGATTAGGACTTTATTCTAAAAGCGTTTTTGATTAATAAGATAACCTAGGTAAATATAGAGATGTCCGGGTATGGCTGGTTACGGATGGGTAGATGGAAGTTACCTGGTATGCATGTGTTGCTCACGTCAATGGTTTATTTGATGGAGAAACCGAATTGAAACCCCCTGTCAAAGTCTATATCTTAGGTACCGAGGTACTTGGCATATTTCACGGCAGCCGGGGAGGCGAGGTGGGATGTTTTCCGACGCCAGGTACGTGCACAAACTTACATTACATACCTACGTATATCAACAGGAATAACAACGATGCTCAGGTACTATTCCTTCAGTATTATAGGTACCTATTATGTCAGGTAGCAGGTATGCGTGAATATTTGACTTTATGTAAGGAGACAAGTTGCATGAGGTACCTTCTCTTTACGTGTAAGTCGAGTCGCAATTGAGGCTACGTACCTCAGGACTCAGGTAGATAACCCAAGTACTTAGGTACCTTAGGTAGGTAACTAAGGTTGGAACACAATGAAGAGTCGTTGTTGATGAGGGGAACCTTGCAGCAAGACTCACTACCTAGATCCTGCCCAACCATCTCCACACTCTTTAGATGGTATTGTTCAACCGCCCCTACATACCTCATTGGAGATCAATTCCAATCTATTATAAGATTAGTAACGATTAAGAAAAAAAAAAACTAAAAAAAACTCCGGCTACCTATTAACATAGTCGCAAAGCGCATACGCAATCATCGGAGAGAGACGCGAACAAGGACTTTCCATGCAGCCATGTAAAGTTGTAAGGAGCTGTCATTTGCATTGTTCAGATCTTATCATCTTATTATCTGCCCTCGTCTACCGCTGGCGTCAAGTCCAATTGCGACCGATTCTTACCACCTGCAGTAGGTAGCGGACATTTCAATTAGGTACCTACATTAGGTACAATACAATACCTAGCTAACCTACCTACCTTATGTACCTACCTACCTACATATCCTAAGCCTTAAGGTAATAAATAGGTACCTAAGTTTGTTACTTTCCTTAGTTAGGTACTTTCCAGCTTACTTTGCCAGGTACTTTTTTTTTTTATTTTTTTTTTAAAAAAAAAAAAAAAAACTTAGCAGTAAAATCGCAGAAGCCCAACGGACAGAAATCCTCCCGCCCGACGTCGCGATTCCATTTTGAGCAAGAGCCGTGTGTGTTCTGTCATTTTTGACTGCTGAATCCAACTTCTAGTCTTCTACACTCCATTTGCGACATCCAACAATTGAAAAGAAAAAAAAAAAAAAAAAAGTACATTGGCAACCAGTAGTTATTAGCGACATCGACTTGACCGGTCAAAAGGTCGAGCGACCGCTCCTTTATTTTTTTTCACCTCTCGTGCGGGTTTTGCGCGTACTCGTACTTGCATCCTTTCATCGCACCGTCGTCCAATAGCCGTTCGCCCCAGCCATCATCTCGCAGATTTGTCGCGGCTGTTAGCGCATCCAACATGAACCAAGCAAGCCAGTACGGAGCCGCCCCGAGACGAACTAATACATATGGCTCTCAACATGAAGAACTCCATATTTCTTCTTCCACTATGAGCCATAGCGGCCAAATCTCTCCGCGGGACTATACTACCGCTCCCGCTCCGCACATCAAGCTCGAGCAGCCCGCATCGCAACCCGTCAACCCCCAATACCAAACTTCGGGTGTGCCCAACATCCTTCAACCTGGAGGACTAGCCCCCGGTCGTCCCCCCGCTCTGAGTGCCAATACCGCCCCTACCCTACCCACAATGTCCGGTATACAACATTCTCCGAGCGAGTACGCTTCGCCGTCTAAACCTCCGACTCTGAGTTTAACAGCACACGGCTATTCTCGCTCCAGTCCTTCCGCCCCTTACGAAAATCCTTCTACTTCCTACTCTCCCTATACCCCTACGACCCCGGGAGGATCTAACCCCGGCCCATCCCAGTACATGTCGCCTCAAGATCCTAAATATACCGCTCCGGGTTCTCAACGAAATATTTCCAACACGCCGCTCGGCCTAGCAGACATACGGCCTCGAGCCGACTCGAGTCTATCCGACGGCCCGCCCGGTACCTTAGCCTACGAGCTCGCCAATGTCCATCCATCGACTAGCAATTACTTGGCTCCTTGGGCGCTCTACGCTTTTGACTGGTGCAAATGGACTCCCCAAGGCAGGGGAGCTGGCAAGGTCGCCATTGGAAGCTACCTAGAAGATGGCCATAACTTTGTATGCTTGACAATTCCATATCTCGAGTCTCGACTCATTCGTGACCGTTGAACCATTTTACTGACCTCTTTCATAGATCCAAATACTCGACACACAGATTATTAATACCCCTTCCGATATATATACCCCCGGCTCGTCCAAGTATAGCATGGAGTTTACCAAGGTCGCGGAGGCAACGCATTCATACCCCGTAACTCGCCTCCTATGGGAACCTCCATCTTCCCAGAAGCAGTCTACAGATCTACTAGCTACTTCTGGCGATCATCTTCGACTATGGTCGCTGCCATCCGACTCCCAACCCTCTCATTCCAATAATATAACTAAGCCGAACCTGGGTACACCCATAACGAAGCTTACGCCGTTAGCACTATTGTCTAATTCCAAGACACCGGATCACACAGCACCTCTCACGTCGCTGGATTGGAATACCGTCTCGCCCAGTCTCATTATCACCTCCAGCATAGACACGACTTGCACAATTTGGGATATTCCGTCCCTAACAGCCAAGACGCAACTTATTGCTCACGATAAGGAAGTCTACGATGTTCGATTTTGTGCTAATAGTGTGGACGTGTTCGTCAGCTGTGGGCAAGATGGAAGTGTGCGAATGTTCGACCTTCGCAGTTTGGAACATAGTACTATTATCTATGAACCAACCGCCAAGGATGATCGAGGTAGGCCTCCCCAGAGTCAAATTATTCTTAAGATAATTACTAACTATATGATAGACGTGAATGGTGGGAGGATAAGCCCGACGCTAGCCCAGCAAACCATGTCCCATGCACCACCCTTACTGAGGCTGGCAACCTCACCACATGATACGTATCTTTTAGCCACATTTGCTCAAGATTCCAACGTCATTCGCATCCTCGATGTACGACAGCCAGGCCAGGCATTGCTAGAACTACGCGGTCATGGCGGGTCCGTGAGTTCGGTCGAATGGTCTCCCAGCAGGAGAGGTTTGCTTGCCTCAGGTGGCGATGATTGTCAAGTACTACTGTGGGACCTTATTAACAGTACCCCCACCCCCGGCTCGTCCTCCAATGGCGCTGGGTCGGCAGAGAAGCATCTGAATCCAGTTGCCAGCTGGCAGTGTGACTACGAAGTTGGTAATCTTGGCTGGGCTCCTCCTCTCCATACTGGCGAGGGTGTTGGCGACTGGCTTGGCGTCAGCGGTGGACGAGGAGTCTGGGGCGTCAAGATCTGAAGCGTTCAAGTTGCGTATATGAAAAATTGTTGCAGCTGGAATACTGCGAAGCAAACCTTCTATGCCATAGCGATTACCGATAAGTTGGCACTACTCCTCAGACTGCTTTATGCATTTACCAAGCAAGGCGTTATCTGGGCCTGCATCAGTTTTAGTTTTTTCCTTGGTTACTCATAGGCTCTTCTGGTTTGTGAGTAAAGGATGTAGCCGAGCTGAAGATGGTATATTGTCGAGTACCTAGGTAGAGTAGACTACCTACGATGAAAATAGGGGTGGGCCGATTCGCTGCGCGGCGTGAGACGGAAATTGTGTCGCTCGATACAAATTGTCTAGGAGTATCGCACCCAAGTCTTAATTTGTATATTAGTATCCATCCTAGTGGGTGAACGACCAAAAATACCGTGATGTGTCGGTTGATGGGTGACTCGGTATATGGCAAAGTGCTGGTGCTTGGTACTTGGTGCTTGGTTGTTGGTTGTTGTATACGGCGAGGAACGGCCGATTCAGTACAATAAGATAACCGTGTACTTTGCCCCAACAAAGGAGTGGGTGGTGAAATAACGGTGTGTGTGCTGTTTTTTGGTTTGTTTTTTTCCTTATTGACGCTTTTAGTTTTATGCTTTGTTGTAATTTGAGATATATACCCCGGCGGGTGGATGAAGAGTAAAAGTACCTAAGTGTACCTATATCGGAATGCCGTCAAAATAGGTACATGCTTAACACCAATATTTCTTTCACCAACTATTTTCGACGAATATGAGGGCTATTTATTGGGGGGGGGGGGGGGGGGGGGGGGGGGGGGGGGGCGGGGGGGGGTCGGGGGGGGGGGGGGGGGGGGGGGGGGGGCGTGCGGGGGGGGGGGGGGGGGGGGGGGGGGGGGGGGGGGGGGGGCGGGGGGCGGGCGGGGGGGTGGGGGTGGGGGGGGGGGGGGCGGTGGGGGGGGGGGGGGCGGGCGCGGC